TATATATATATATAATTTCAATTAATTGAAATGAAAACGAGACTGGACAAGCCTATCTGATAGCACGCTTCACAAAAGCAAATACATAAAATATTTTATATTACATCTATTATAATATTTAATTTAATAAACATACTAACCGGGTAGGTTTTACTATAGCTTACTGGTTACTCCAAAGCCTAACGTTAAGAATTTTTAGCTAACCGAGTTAGGCTTAAGTTATAAGCGAAATTTTCAGTTTGAATCGAATGGTTCGACAGAACATAAGATAACAAAAGTCATTCGGCAAGTGCGTGGAAATCGCTCAGAAGGACAAAAGTACTAACATAAGCACTTTACCACTACCATGAATCGTGCTTAAAAGAATGTTCTCTGTATGTGTGAATGTTAGTGTGTGTGTGTGGACAAGAATGTGTTTAGCCACTTTAAAAAATAACTCCCGTGTATTAACACTATTTTTTCAGTGACTAAAAGTCAAGAGTTTGGTGAGATAGAAAGAGTTAATTAAGAAAACGGAATACCACTTTGTATATAGAACTCTATTTTCGTTAATTAATAACATGAATTTAAATGAACTGCAGGTAAATAGCACGTGCCCAGTGAGAATCTCACGAGTTGCCACATAGGTTTTATAAAAAGTAAAAGGTAGCCAAAATTATATTTAAAGTGGCCCAAATAATAGTATGTCGCTCAAATGTAAGAACTTAGAGCCTTACAAGTATGTCAATCTGCTACTGTCAGCCCAATCTCGCAATCCAAAAAACCAACCGTATTTTAGAAGAGAAAAAAGAGGCAGTCCGTGGGTAAGCATACACCCAAAAAATGTATTAATGTACTAATTATTTTATTCAGATAACAGTCAAGCATAAATATCTTTTTTAACTCATTTATACGTTTATTGATATTAGTAATTGGGAAAATGAAATATACGATAAAAGATATGAACCATTTTAAAAAAGTTTTTGATATATAGTATATTAGTTTTCCTTACATTAAAGGTTTATATGAGGAAATTAATAAAGAAATGCGAAAAATTAATTTTAAATTAGCACCTAAATATTAAAAATTGCAATCTAGATTATAAGCGAAACAATTGGGGAAAAAACTAGAAAGGCAAACGAAGATACAAGAAATATAGTTTATAAAATTCCATGCACTTGCAGTGAGATTAATGTTTATACAGGTGAAACAAAGAGTAAATTAAATATTAGGTTAAAGGAACATATTGCGGACTCGAAAAAACGCAGATTGAATTCCGTTTTTCACGGACACTGTTTATTGAACGATTGTAATATAGATAAGACTAATACTGAAATTTTACATAGGGAATAAACAGTTATACTAGAAAATTTAAGGAAAGTCTTGAAATTTTGAAAGACAAAAATTGTATAAATAAAAATTTAATCTTACGATCAAAATACTGTATCGGCAAAAATGAAAGCTTCTTTCATCAGGAATTACAGACGGCGCCACTGGATTTATTCAAATTTGAAAAACGTTCCGTTACAACCCAATCGTTAAGAGACGTTTGAGTAAACGACGAGAAAGAAGACGAGAGATATTTTGTGTTTATTTTCGATTAGGAAATTATTCCAAGGAAAAATGGAAGAAAAGTTCTCGGCCATTCAAAGGTAAAACTTTATACTTAGTCCGTCGGGGCGCTGTTTTAATTATTGATTAAAAGACAATGGAAGAAGTTGGTTGTTGCAATAGAGAATTCTTTGATACGCCTACAGAAATATTTCCAAAAATTTATAAAAATCCATAAAGGGTTTAAATGCGAAGTGTTTTCTTAACTAAATTCTTATTTTACAGATTATTTTAATGACTTCCGCATATTTCAGTATAAAGTTCTTAACGTGCAATATGAAAAGAATTGAAGACCTATAAATACCAACTATCATCCGTCAATTCTTTCTTACTACTGTATCCAGAACGGAGTTAGATCAGGGGTCGGCAGCCTGGGCTGGCGAGCCACATGCGGCTCTTTGGATGTGAAGCTGCGGCTCTTTAGTTCCATAAGCAAATATTATTTATTTTATCAAAAACAAAAACATTTAAAAATTGTTCTGAATCGATTAACGAGGATTAGGCACCGATTCTATCTCTCAGCCACTTGTACTCGCTTTTCATCGCACCTCTCCCCCGTGACACGCGTTGTCACTGTCGTCAATCTGTCGGAAGCTTTCGAATGACGCCGTCGTCGGATGTTTCTATAAGGTTTAATTCGCTTTCGACGCAAGACAATTTGGCGTCTTCACAAGTGCTTTGGCTATGACGTATAGTTTGTTGTTTCGAGTAAAAGAGTTAGAAGCGAATTATCTTCTCAAAGTTATGTAAAAATTTTGTGGCTCTTTAAAAACTGAAATTTTGTAAATTGTAATTTTTGGCACTTCCGACTCAAAAGGTTGCCGACCCCTGAGTTAGATGAAAGACGAGAGCAGATATGGAATCCTTAGAAGCAGGAGATTGCCTCTAAGGATTACCTGTACATGAAATTCCGCTGCAAACCGAAAGTTACGCTATTTTGATTCAAAAGTTTTCCCGCGAAAGCAGTTATAGATGATCGGCACGACTCTATTGTTAAAAGGAAAGAATGATGTACGGGGTCACTGCTAATTGCAGGTAAGCATATATTTTAAGTGTAGTAAATTATCAATACGATAAAAAACTGCAGCCCGGCATTGTGACCGTGTCATAATAAATCAACCCTCATTATTAATAATTTTGAATAATTATAGTTTAAAAGTGTTCATTCCTTTTCAATAATATTCGAATGAAATATTATTGTTCGAATTTCAATTGTAAATTTTGAAAAAACACAGAAATGAAAACAATTGAAATTTAAATATTAGATGGTGACACTTATTTTTTTCACAAAATTGACAGTTCTTTTACAGAAAAAAGTAGCAAATGCCAATTGAGATAGAGAAGTCGTAAATTGTATTTTAATTAATTATTGAATGGATTCTAACTTTTTTCCTGATGAATCAAATCTTTCCCGAAGGAATCGTGTCTGTTTCTTTACGTGCCGTCTTTGGTTCTGACAGAACTGAAAAGAAAAGAAGAAACAACAATAAATAGTTTAACACGCAACACTTTGCTCGTTACTACTGACGTCTTTTCGTTGTCTTTTGTATAGAGAAAAGTCGAGGATAGTTGTATTTTACTGTTGATACTTCATAATTCTTTGCGTATGTGAAGACAGAGTGACGATTCTGTTGTATTTTTTTCTGTACTACGAAGTGAACGGAAGCTTATGGATATCTCATGCAGAAATGGATTAATCTTTTATAATTTCTTTGATCGTCATCACTTTATTTTAACATTTAAGAAATTAAAGTAATGATATATAGTGCTGATCTGAAGAAAATGTTCACGATTACGTTAGAAAGAAAAAAAGAATATTTACTAAGTCAATGAAGACGATTTCTCAAATCACATTTCTATATCTATCGAATGGCCCTCGAGTTTGGTTTGTGGAATGTGCTAACAAGTATTAAAAGTGCTTTACGTTTTTTTGTTGAATGAAGTTTCTTGACTTATTGTAAACAAACGTAAGTACATCTTTCATTTTTTCCTACGCATTGTTAAAACCACCATTTTTAGAAAAAGGTTAGAAATGGTTGTTTTTCAAATTTCAAATTCTTCAATCAAAGCTGTGAAATATGAAAATAAAAGGATCTTCGTAAAATACAGTATTATCTGAACTACTTGTTTTTAAACATAGTAGACAAAACTATTTTAGATATCCTATTAATAATTAATTAATGCATTTTACATGTATATATATTCCTATTTAAGAAAATTAACTTTAAACGTTTATTTTTGAGATCTTAAACTCAGCTTTACTTTTGTGGCGCGACGTTTCCAAGGAAGAATTTCTAAAATTACTTACTTTGTTTTATAAAATAATGTATGACGTCATTCTCGTATCTCATTTCAGCCAAAACTTTATTTTCAGATTTACTATCAACCAATAGAAAGAAGAGTAACAAATGAAGAATTGTTTCCATAAAAAGGATGAGTCGAGGAATGTGTTTAACTTCTGTTTACAGAAGATTTACTTGAAGGCAGTGATAAGAAATTCTACGAGAGTATGAAAAAGGGAAAAATATACGTGAAGAAAATGAAGAGAAACAGAAAATGAAATGAAGATATTTTAAATAATTTTCAAATATGTTATTTGTTAAAATACATTTCATATAAATTGTTTGAGATAAATGTATAAATTACATTAATTTGTGATAGTATGTGTATACTGCTGGTAAATATTTGTAAATACTGGTGTAAGCAGTTTATGTATGATCTATGGTGTGAGGTGGTCTAGTTAGTTGTCAGGTTTAAACTTTAGTTTAAAGAAACTTGTTAAAGGGAAATTTTTTTTCTATCTGCACATACAATTTTAACAGTGTTTTAAAAGCATCGTGCTTAAATTTAGATTTTTACATATTCCACTAGCAATAAATTGAAGAAAGATTTGGTTTAATGCTCTTATGATATTTGACAGGTTTAAACAATCAAAAGTCAAGAAATGGGAAGTATCGATGTGGCAATTGCGAGAAAGAATACGTTTCGAAAAATGGTTAAAACGTCATCGAAGGATTCACACTGGCCAAGGGCTCTTCACTTGTAAATACAGTAATCGTCGGTTCACCCAATCCTGTCATCTACTTGACCACGTCAAGACTCACACCGGAGAGAAGCCTTTCTCTTGCGACTATTCCAAGCGAAGTTTTATGCAAAAACCTAATCTGATAAGACATCTTCGTGTTCACACCGGAGAAAAACCATTCTCGTGTAATCATTGCTTACAAAAATTTCGTTTTAAACGTTCTTTAAAGTATCATATTATTAAACATCATAATAGTAATGAATAATGACTTTTGTAGAAATGATTTTAGTACATTTTTTCGAAAAATATGTAATACTCGTATTTTAGATTTTATTGAACATGAAACAAGAAATTTCTAAAGTTTTATTTTTTTTCGTTTTGTAACTTGCGTTATGTGCATAAAACAATTGATTTTATGTATCGGAAAAAAGAAGGGTTTTAGAATAAACACAAATTTCATTGATTAGAATGTAATATGGTTATTTTTACTTGTTTAAGTACGGGTCATTTATTTAGGGCGATAACATTCATTTGTGTTATTTACGGACAATTCGTTTATTGTTAGAAGTGTATTCAGAAACAAGACAAGTGGTCGTGTTTGCACGAAGATCAATTATTGTCACTCGTTTTATCTTCAGATTCGAAAGAGATTGGAATAAGTGAATTTTACCGTAAATGTCGTTTTTTTTTAAATCATAAACAGTAAAAAGTTTTAATAAATAAAAACTTTTCATTTGAAAAATAGATATATCACAGAGACAACCAATTTCTACACGTTGTATACACATCAAAGTGAAATAAATACGAGTTAAATATAACGGGACATAATTTATTACGTGTCATTTTTATTTGAGATAAATTTACATTATAATACATTAAAGTGATTTTTGCCTTACGAACAGTTTGAATTTCAGTGAACTAAATAAGAAAAAATAATGTTTTTAGATTCGAATCGTGCGTAACTGACAAATTAATCGATGGCAAAGTTACTACTACCATCAATTATGTCAGCCCGCCGCTCGGGAAGACTCTTGTTCGAGTCCCGATCACCTTCGAGAATTTTCGGGGAAGATTTGACCCACGTACTTATGTCATCACTGAGTAGAGTTCTGTTACGAATCTGTCTCCGCAGCAATGAAAGGGTCTTCCTTGCAGACAGAATCAAAACTTTAAAAAAATCAATCGTCCTGGAATAATTCTGTTTAATACTGTTAATTAATTAAATTAATGTTGAGAAAAATTCACTTTTATTTTAAAAATTCATTCAAATGTATGATTTTAAAATTAACTAAATAATATATATGAAATACATTTTACTACCGAGGGACTTTCTCTATTACGTTGAACAAACGTTTTCAACTCACTCAATGGGTCATCATTAGGTTATTAAAGCTATACGAAACTTTACACTAGTTCGTTTACGATTGTTGTTATCGAATCACTAAGGAATTTAAATTATGCTAAATTCAAAATAAACAAAATAGAAACCATTTAAATAGTCCATTAAATACCGAATCAAACGAACTATAATAAAATAAGATACAATACAGTAAAATAAATAAAACAAATATAAATATAACAACAAAAAACTTTTACAACGACCACGTGCTCCACATTAAATTATAAGCTCTCTTCGATTATGTAAGTATATGCTTACATTTAATTGGTCTCATTGATACGACTTTATTTTTGGAATATATATAATATTCCAAAAAATAAATTCGTATCAATGAGACCAATAGAACTTACACGTTCTATTAGTCCGTAAGCAAAGTGATTTATTTGAATTTTATATTATTCACTAAAGAAACGATAAGCTTCTGTGTCGTGCCGTCATTGGAAACGGTGGAAGCGCCGTTTTACTTAAACAAAAGCTTAACCGGACCAATATCTAGCCGAGTACAGTGGGAACTGGTTTCTTCGTAATATTAGACGTAATATAAACAGAAATTTTTCCAGTTCAATGAAAGTGACCGAAAAGTTGTAAATTTTGGAAATTTCCGTGGACACCTGGTCTTCAAACGAAATAGAAAACAAATGACTATTAAATTTAACAAATTTAGATTTTTACAGCCATGGTGAGAAACGTTTAAAATTTACAACAACCCTGTCGCGTCCTTTGAAATATACTAGTGATGCCACAAAAGAGGCATTTGACATTAGATTTAAAGAGTAAAAAATATTTTATGTTATTTTTATGTACGTTTCTTTACAAAACTATATTTATTTATAATTTTCTTTAAAAGTATATTTATACAATTGAAGAATATTTTGTACCAGGTATGTATAATTGTATATCCATCACATATTTTATTTCACAAAGTAAGTTTTTATAATTTTATTTTTAATTTTAGCCTTAATGTTATGGCTAGCGATTCAGAATGTAATTACGATATTGAAAATTTATTTTAAAAAAGTTTTGGCTCGAGATCATATAATGAAAAAGAAAACATTATTAAAAGAGAAAGGCCAATGCCTAAGTTAAATATAAACGCTTCAATAAAAAAATTTGTTCGACATTTTCACGATAAAATGGCTCTGTAAATGCATAAAAATGCAAAAATTGTTTTGTTGGCTTGCCTACTATTTTCAAATGAAATTAGTGTGTGGAATAAGAATGGCTTTGACAATTTAGCTGGCAAAAGACACGAAAAATCGTCGATTCTTTCGTATTTGAAGCAATTTGGAAATCGAAGCGGAATAGAATTTAACATTAATAAATAATATAAAATAAATATTGAAAATTATAACAAGATAGTTACAGCTAATAGATATATTTAAATTAATATTGATAGATGTTATATGTTTTTATCAAAGCAAGAATCGGCATTTACAGGGCATAGGAAATCTATTGAATCTAATAACAGAGGTAATTATATTGAACTTTATTAATAACTATTTATTAATTACGTCTGAAAAATAATCTATTAAAAATACATTTAAATAATTAACTGATCGCCCCTGGAAGTCGGCTTCTTACAGAAACACGGCTTCCCTATCATCAAATGTCACGGCACGCCACTGATAAGCTTTAATTATTTTATTTAATTATTCCCTTCGTGTATGAAATATAATAAAGAAATATTCAAAATAAGTATGAAAATTTGTGCAGAAAGTAAAACCTTATTTAATTTATATTTAAAGTTAGGCTAAAAACGAAACCCAATCGTTTGGATTAATTAATTAAATGTAACTTTTACAGAAACGTTTTGATTTGATTTCCTTTAATTTGTATTTGAATAATTTGGCTTATTTTATTTTATAAAAATAATTAAACTCGTAAAATTTTATAAAATCGAATGACCGGTTTCGTCATTCTGTCATCATTTTATTTGAACAAGGAGGATGACGAACGAACGAAAACGTTCGAAAATTTCAAATATCTTCGCATCTTAATAACGTCCATTTAAACTACATTGCTTAATCAAACTTTAATAAGACAGGGTTAGAACTTATCACAGTTCTCCAGTCAAGAATTTGTAATCGACCGAGCTATTTCGGTTGATTACAAATTCCCGATACCAGAACAGGACATATCAGAAAATAGTCTAAAACACAGGTTTGACCTTACGTACACTTATTCGGGTAATACACCTCGGCGTTTTTAATGTACTTTCGACCTTATTTAACCGCTTTGACAGAAAATACACTTTAACCTTTGTCACGTTATGTGAAGCGCCATACAATATTGCAGTCGCCCAAATTTTGAAATAATAAATTGTGCGAAATATTAAAAACTAGCAGGTGAGTCCGGCGTTGCTCAAGCAAAAGTAACGATAACTAAGATTAAGATTATTACGTTACAGTCAACATTACTCATTTTCACAGAGTAAGAGTGAAATGAAACCTAAGACAGGAAGAAGACTTAACACTTCCATTGTTGATGGAAGTGTTAAGCATTAATCCTGTCTCTCTCCCCCCGAGAGTAATTTCGAAAAATTCCTTCTTATTGTGCGTTCTCGTGACGTACCCTCACTGTGTACCAAAATTTCAACTTTCAACTCCTAACCGTTTGGACTCGTATCCATAATGTATATAGAAGCCTTAATCCTGTCTCTCTACCCCCGGGGGGAATTTCGAAAAATCCCTTTCTAGTGTGCGTTTACGTGATGTACTCTAAATGTGTACCAAATTTCAACTTTCGTTTGGGCTGTGCACTTATTATTATTATTATTATTATTATCAACCCGTCTCCATTCCCCCGGGGGGAATTTCGAAAAATCCCTTTCTAGTGTGCGTTTACGTGATGTACTCTAAATGTGTACCAAATTTCAACTTTCGTTTGGGCTGTGCACTTATTATTATTATTATTATTATCAACCCGTCTCCATTATATTAAAGATTAGAAAATTTGTAATTGTTATGTTCATTTTCGAAATTTGTAAACCTAAAATAACATACAAGAATCTTTGCTTACGATATTCTGGAGAAAGAATAAATACTTTTTCAACTGTTTTATTTACTTCATATTGTTTCTGAACTGTAGAAAGGGAACCATTACAATTTCCGGGAACCATTCCCGTTTTTCACAACGTGCATCAAGATGTATTTTTACTATTTTAATTAAATTTCCATTTATTAAAAATAATTTTACAAAACATTTTGTTCATATCCACAAAATACAATTCGAAAACTACAATTGTTTTAAATACAATTCGAAAATTACAATAAAAATTAAACTTCAAAATTTATTGTTTTTATGTTTAATATGCGGGTTTACATTTTATTGAATATAATTTCGAACAAATGCAACAACGCGATCATTTTCATCCATTTTTATTTTTTCGTTTCCTTCATAGAAAATATCATTTATAATTCTTATGACGTTTAATAATATGATACTTTAAACTAGCGTGAAAACGAAACTTTTCTGACCAATAATTACACGAGAATGGCTTTTCTCCGGTGTGAAGTCGAAGATGTCCTATCAAACTTTCTTTTCGCGTAAAACTCCGTTTACAATGATCACAGGTAAAGGGTTTCTTTTCGGTATGAATCTTGACGTGTTTACTTAAATTGCTGGAATAGTTGAACTGACGATTACAGAATTGGCAAGACAGGAGCCCTTCACCAGTGTGAAACATTCGATGATATCTTAATCCTTTCTTCGAAACGAAATTCTTTCTGGCAACTGCAACACAAAGATACTTCCCATTTCTTGTTTCATTACGAAAGAAATCTTTAAAATATAAATGAAGATATCTAAACTCTCGATGTATTGTTTTAATCAAATATATAAAAATGTAAACTCGAGTGCATTATTTTATAAAGTATTGTTAAAACATGTGTTTGAAGATAAAAAATAATTTGCATTTTTCTCACAAGTTTTCCTTAAACTAAAATTAACAATACTATCGCGATCGCGTCACACCACACATACCATCTAATTTCCGGTGCTTACAATTATTACCAATGATCACAAATTATATAATTTATACATAGAAATTTACTTTTATAGAAGCAATTTATACGAAGAATATTATTCAAAAATTATTGGAAAATAATCTCAAAGTATCTTCATTCAATTTCAGCTTTTCCTTTATTTGCAAAAAATGTTTTTCTATTGTATCGTATTCTCGTATCATTTTTCGCCATTAATTTAATTCGCCATTAATTAGTTCGCCATTAATTAGTTCGTACGGCTTTTGTTTACGGAAGATTAACTTCCGTAAACAAAAGCCGTACGAACTAATTA